ACCTGCCTTCACCCTGAGTCAGCTGGGATAGGCTCCACCCCCCACCACCCTGGTGAGGGTTAAGGTGTAGAGATGATGGATGGATGGATGTCAGATAAGCTGACCCTTAGTATTTTAGTAAGCACATAACATTTCCAAACTATTTTCAAAAAGCAGCTGTGATGATTGGTCTTCCTGTGGCGGCGCCTGGAATCAATATAAAAATCAGTACCATTAGAATATTTGTTCCATTTTGTAAACCTCAGTTTCCATACCTGGTACTTGTTGGTGGAGTTGAATGGGATTTCAGCAATTTTGGGGGTTTTGTCTCTCATTTCCTGGACCGATCCGCAGCACAGCTCAATACATTTGAGCAGAGCCGACTCAGAGGCGTCACCGGCCACATCTCTCTGGAGGAGGAAGATTAATCAGATTAATCAGAGGCCAGAACTGTTCCGTTGGTTTGTTAAACACTCGGCTTCATATATAATTTGAAAAACAAATATTCTCAGTTGAATCCAGCACAGAAAATCTCCGTCTTACTCATTGATTGTGTCCACCTACACTGCAAAAACACAAGACAACACAAAGGTTTGTTTGGGATTCTGCCCACAAAAGAAAAATGCTAATTTTCTCATCATAATTACTGGCCTTGATAAAAACCAACCCCATGTTTACGCTTCTCTCACTCTTGTTACAGTAACTGGGGGAAAATAATGAGCAGTGAAAAGAAAATGGCTGTTAATTAGAGCCATGATGCCAGCCAGACATTTACAGGTGATTAACACACGAGGAAACACGGACGCACCGAGACTCGCCGCGTAGACTGGTTATTAACACAGAGGCTGGAAACCAGAGCAAAGCCGGAGAGACAGTTACACAGCTGTGTGTGTGTGTGTGTGTGTGTGTGTGTGTGTTTTGGGGGGGTGGGGCTCAGGATAATTATGTTGGTGTATGTGTGTGTGTGTGTGCACTCCTGGGAGGTGAGCAGAAGCTGGAAAACAAGTCTGTGTGCGAGGTGGCACAAGTAAAACCAGATGAACTCAGAAACACAATCAGAGATTTGCTTTCATTTACAATTTTTAAACATCTGTTATCAAAGATCCAAAATCATTCTTTATTAACCCTCTGAACAGAGATTTGACTCTGCACCGAGTCTGGTAACTCGTTCCACCACCGAGGAACCACAGAGTCCAGCTACCGACCTGGCCCTGTTGTGGTGGTTGGACCAGGAGGCTCTGGTTGGTCCAGTTAGTGAGCAGAGGGAGTGTAGACCTGAAGGAGAGAGTTCAGGCAGGAGGAGATGTTCTCTCTGTGGTTCTGCTTCAGCGTCAGAGTTTGGATTTGAAGCAGCTGGAAGCCAGTGATCGATCAGAACAGTCCATGAGCTGTTTGTGGCTGGTTGAACACCAGACGGGCTGCTGGTTCTGGATCATCTGCAGAGGTTTGACTGTGGATGCAGGAGGCCTGCCAGTAAGGAGCTGCAGTAGTCGATGATATGATGAGAGCCTGGACCAGGAGTTGTGCTGCATGTTCAGACAGGAAAGGTCTGATCTTCCTGATGCTGTACAGGACGAATCGACACGACCGAGCAACAGAGGCCACATGAGCCTTGAAGGTCAGCTGGTCACCAATCATGACGCCCAAGATTCTGTCAGATTTAGTGGGTCTGAGTTGGGTTGGATCAGCTGGATGCTGATTCCTTGTTGTAGAGAGGGACTGGCTGGGATGACAAGGAGCTCAGTCTCAGAGAGGCTGACCTCAACCAGGCTGAGATGTCTGCAAGGCATGATGAGATCCAGCAGAGACCGTGTGGTCGTCCAGGGGAACGACAGGAAGAGCTGGGTATCATCAGCATAGCAACGGTATGAGAAACCACGGCCTGGATTATTGCACCAAGTGACGTTGTGTAAATTGAGAAGAGAAGGGGACCGAGCACTGACCCCTGAGGAACCCCTGTGGACAGGTTGTGTGGTTCGGACACTTCTCCCCTCCAGGATACTCTGAAGTATCTCCCTGAGAGGTACACAAATTCTAAGTTTTGAGGTGAACTGGACTGAAAAGCAAGCTGTGTAGGTCGGTAAATATCTTTATCGCCGCATCACCGTTTTGTTTCGTAACACGACTATCGCTGCCATTGGCCTGCTTTGGTCAAGAATACACTCTGGAAGCTGCATCTCCTCACGATGTCACAGCTTTGGAAATGTCTGAGGAATGAAGGTCAAGACACTCGTTCTAAAATGTGTTTGTGGAACCAAAGGCGTGCACAGTATCTGCAGCAACATCACTACAGTGTGTGTTTCTTTTCATAGAAGTGAGTGTTTCATCAGGCTGGAGCACTTGACCAGGAGCTGGCATTGCTTTAAAGGAAGTGAAGAAGAAAAACACTTGTTTTAACAGAATTTTTAAATTGTTTGAAAAGGGGCATTCAAATTGAATATGAGTCAGCAGTACAGAACTTCTCCCTCCTGCCCACATGATGAGCACACAAGCTACAGGCTGAGAATGAACAGAAGAACCTTTCTTGTAGTTGAACAAAGCAGAACAGATCGCACACACTCCTGCTTCGAGTTTTAACAGCTAATTATTTCTCAAAAAACATACAAGTCATGTAAAAAAAAAAAAAAAAAGGTACAAGACAAACAGTTGCTGCAGGAAAATGAGGTGTTAAAATAGAAAGAACCTGCCTTCAGAATGGGAATGTTGCTCTGCTCCGCCAGGAACACGGCTCGGTTGCACAGTCCGGCGATTCTAGCCAGAGCAGCCCAGGTGGCCGAGCTCCGGTCAAAGGAGGTACCGCTCTGGTTCTCAGTGGTGTCGGCCTCGTGGATCTGGTTGTCGAACCACATGTGGGCCACAGTCATCCTGTTCTGGGTCAGGGTGCCGGTCTTGTCTGAGCAGATGGTGGAGGTGGAGCCCAGAGTCTCGACAGCTTCCAGGTTCTTCACCAGGCAGTTCTTCTTGGCCATACGCTTAGCAGTCAGGGTCAGACACACCTAGAGATGCGATTGCTTTGGTCAGTTGACAGCTGAGCTGCTTTTGGGATCTGTAGCGGGATCCTTCATCACATGAAACATCCAGACTCACAGTGACAGTAGCCAGGAGACCTTCTGGCACGTTGGCGACGATGATACCGATGAGGAAGATGACGGCCTCCAGCCAGGTGTACCCGAGGATCAGGGACAGGATGAAGAAGGAAACGCCCAGGAAGACAGCCACGCCGGTGATGATGTGGATGAAGTGTTCGATCTCGATGGAGATGGGGGTACGTCCGACCTCGAGTCCAGAGGCGAGTGTGGCGATACGACCCATGACAGTACGATCGCCGGTGCTGATCACGATACCTCGTGCAGTTCCTGTAGCAGGCATGTGAAAGCATCTGTGATTTACCTACAAAACCTCTGACACAGAGATGAAACCTTGCTCCGTCTCTTGTGTAACCTGTTGCCATACCTTCAACGCAGTTGGTGGAGAAGAAAGCAATGTTCCTGGTCTCCAGTGGGTTCTCATTGGAGAAGTCAGGAGTACGCGTCTGGGGCTCGGATTCACCGGTCAGGGAGGAGTTGTCCACCTGGAAGAGGGAAAAAGAAGAAAATGGCTTCATCCGTCTTATTTACAACACACAGACAGATCCAATGACTGGCAAAAGGTTACGTGTTTCTTTCTCCTTCACCCTTATTTCTGTGGTCAGAACAGCTACCAAACAGCAGATGCAGGTCAAACGGCACTTTGGCTCCACAGTGGAGCAGCAGCTAAACGAGGCAGGTGAATGATCCAGAGGTGAACACAGACTGGCTGTGGCAGGATGCAGTCAGGTGCTTAGCGTAGGACCCAAAATGGCTCACAGACCTGTTCTCTGTTCTTTTAAGAATCCCGGCTCTTGTGATGTGATGAGTCTATTCATTAAAACAGTGCCTTCAAAGGAAAAGTCTAAGAGGGTGATGTGGTGCTTGAAGCTCTACTTCACTGTCAGATGGCAGTTTGATCATTCAGTGTTAAAAAACGAACACAAAGAGGCCTCGGCATCGTTTCAAAACCATTTTAACAACAAGTGAGAGTGAATTGCTCACAGTGTTCTTAGGTTTTATGAAAGAAAGCTTTTTGTCATTCAATATGTATATATGACATATCTGCAGTAACCTTCAAGAGGTTCAAGGCTCCAACAAATCCTATTTGTTCAAGTGCGAACTCAAGCACAGTGCAGACAGAAAGGTAAGTCCAGGAACTCTTTTAAGGTTTTAATTCAGGTTCAAATCCTTAAAAAAGGTTCCTAGACGGAAGAAAAAAACTTGTCACCTTGCAGCCGTGAGCAGAGATGATCCTCAGATCAGCAGGGATCCTGTCTCCACCTTTCACCTCCACTAGATCCCCAACCACCACCTCCTCAGCGTTGATGCTCTTCTTCTCACCGTCACGGACCACCAGGGCTTGCTATGAGACGAGACATGACGGAGACAAAGGAGAACGTGAGACTGAGTCTGTTGTAGCTGCCTCCAGTGTCCGACATGCACACAGAGCCCAATATGTTAGCATCGTGAAAGGATTTTCATTGTTAGCATCCAAACGACTGAACAAGGACAATGAGATGTCAAGAGCATGTGATCGTTTCTGTACAGGAACCAGGCTGAAACCTTAACACAGCAGCTGACATGATGATACTCCTGGTTTCAGTGTTGTGTTGTGTGCAAATCAGTCATCAGGGATCTTTTGGCTCACGTGAACATGAAGGGTTTAAAATGTGAAGGTCACCTGTGGGACCAGGTTCTTGAATGAGTCCATGATCTTGGAGCTCTTGGCCTCTTGGTAGTAGGAGAAGCAGCCAGTGATGATGACCACAGCAGAAAGCACGACACCCAGGTACAGCTATGAACATCAAAACAGAAAATCAGATTTCAAAAACTCTCTTCTTGCAGACAACGTCTCCTCCGTTTGCTATTCAAGGTTTTAGGACCATTACTTTCAGGATCCATCAGTCAGACTAAACCTGAACCAACATCTCCTCACATCATATGTTTTTATGAGATTAGTTCCAGTAAACAGTAAACTGATCCCTTATTGAATTTGCCTTCTTGGATAAATAAAGTATTTTTCATTTCATTATCATGCCAACAGGTGAATATGTTGGTCAGCATGCTGTCAGCACACAACATCTCTAAGATCTCTCTGAGTTGCCCTTCCTCATAAATTCTGAAATATTTTAGGGTACTGTGATCAAGTTGTGCTTGAATGATGCACCACATCAAGACATCCAACACCCCTTTTCCACCAACAACAACCAGGTGCTAGTTCCAGTGCTTAGTTGGTTCAAATCTGGCACCTCCAAAGAACCGGTTGCTTTTCCATCAGCCAGGAGCCCAGTCAGAACCGTACATCACTGCATACAGAGCCGTTTACCGCTGGCGCCACACAGAAGTCCACACAGGACTCCAGACTGACTTTGGTACCGGTGTGACCAACTTTCTCATCTGGTCGCACTTCCCACCTGGTCACAGGAGAAACATCTGACCTGCTGAACATGTTCCCATGTTCCTAAACCTAACCCTATCCATAGACTCTACAGTTTACGATGTTCCCTGAACGCCCCACATAGCAGGCTGTGCTAGCTGCTGCTGGTGGCCGCTGTGCTCAGACCGGTGTGAGACCAGAGATGACTTTAACAGAGTGAACCAGGAGGTTCTGCTGTCAGATCTATCCAGGATGAAGCCCAGTGATCTGTTCTCATGAGGTCTTTTCTATGAGCAGATTAAGTTTGTGCAGAACTTCTGTGTGTCCCGGGACTCATTCAGTACATCTGTGATCGGATCAGAGACGTCCTGGTGAAAAACGACACAAATCACCTCTTGTGTGTCCCATCCATCGGTACCGGTGGTCCCGATAGCCCCGCCCCCAGCCCCTGATGGACTCAGTGCTGAGCTCTGGCCCAGCAGAGAGTTGGTGACTGAAAAGCACCGGCTCTGAGAACCTGGAGCCGGTGCTTAGGCGGTGGAAACACAAACAACTGGTGCTAAGTCGGGCACTAGCACGGAACCAGCACTGGAACCAGCTCGGTGGGTTAGGGTGGTACCAAAGACCTTCTCTTACATTATCGTTGGCTGGCTCGTCCTCCATTGCAGCCTGAATACCATAAGCCAGGAAACAGAGGATGGCACCGGTCCACAGAAGCATGGAGAAACCACCAAACATCTGGAGGAACAGAGAACAGAGTGAAGCTTGTGAGCATCATGTCTGACTGTAAAACACTCGGAGACGCGTATCAGGAGAGACTTCCTGAACACTGTTTCTCCATCGTATTGAAAAGAAAGCTGAAGGTACCTGTTTGCAGAATTTGACCCACTCTGGGGTGGTGGGAGGAGGAGTGAGGGCGTTGGGTCCATCACGGGCCAGAATCTCAGCAGCCTTCGCACTGGTCAAACCCTGGTGTGAGGAAAAGATACAGACCTGGCTACAGTGGTGCTAGACTTATCTTTTCTAATTATTGTTGTTCCAGCAGCCACACATGCACACATAACCTCAGTGCCACATGTTTCGGTCCAGAGGGGACTGTAGGTGTTAACAATTGCCTAGCAACACAGCATCAACAGAAAACAGCCATGTCCTTCAATAGCAGGTAGGAGGAGGAACGCAGGAGGAGGAGGAAGGTAAAGGAGGACACTGAGGAGAAGAGATGACGGTATGAAATCAGGGCAGAGGGGGTTTCTGTGCCTAATAAATTATTCACCACAGTTGCACACGCATGGCATGCACGCACTTGCAGCGCTGGAGGCCCCCGTTAGAGGCACTGATTTACGATTCTCCTTGATCTTTCCTGCATGACCAGGAGCACATTTGCATGAGGAGAGAGACTGCTTGGTGGGGGTTGGAGCTCCGTCTCTACTCTGATGGAGTCCATCGATGTTTCAGGAAAACATGTCAGTGTCCCGTTTATCCAAGTTATCTGATACGGGTTTGGTAATGAAAGTACATTTCCTTTAAGTGTCGGCACAAAAACTGAACTTGAAAATAAAAACGAGTTGTCAGCAGATGCTGCTGTGTGTAGAACAGAGCTAGTTTATTCTATTGAGTGAATGTGGAGGAGCTGAAGAAGCTGTGTGAGGGACCGTGTCGAAGCTGACTGGGCCGCTGTGACGGTAACAAAGCTCGATAAGACTTTTTGATCATCAGTTACGGTAAGAAAATATCTGAACCTGGCCTTCTCCAGATGATCAGCGAGAACAAATGTAAACTATTGTCAGTCTCCAAACTGCACTGAGATGAGTCGACATGTCCTCTCTGTTCTTTTGACCGTGTTCTGTTTCATCTGGCCTCTGGAGCGGCTGATCACAGCCTCCATAGCTCTTCTTCATGAGGACGTCTTCCCTCTTTAAACAAAGTTTCTCTGTTTAATTCATCTGAGCCTCATTAATCATTCATCAGCTGAATGTCAACCGTCAGACGGGGAGAAAAATGGAAGCTAACAGCAAACAGTGGCTCATATGCGATCAGTATCTAACCGCCAGGCCAGATGGAGCACTTTCTACCATGGTGCCAGAGTTTGGAGAGAAGAACATCGGCTGCTGGAACAACATCTCAGTAACTTTTAAAGCTGCAGACGAGACACCACTGGAGTCTGAGGTTAAAAAGTTCATAGATGGGCACAAACACACAACTCCTATCTCACTCACGTTGCTGAGGTCGGTTCCATATTTGCGATTGAGCTCATCCAGGGTCAGCTTGTGATCATCCTGCAAGGACACAAAGACACGGTGCATCAGTCAAGTGTGTGTGGGTTCAATGTGCCAGGAGCTGGCGACATTTCCAGCTCTTTGTGTGCCGATCTTTCATTTTAAAAGGAGCACCTCTTACAACAATGATAAGGAAACATTCAGAGTTTGAGGGGCGGAAATGAACGGATGAGAAGAAAGGACACAGGGGAGGGGAGAAGGAAGCAAGAGAAGGAGAGGAGGAACTGGATAAAAGAAAGGACAGGAGGACAGGCAGAGGGAAGGCAGTGAAGACTGGTGGGGAGAAACCATGTCAGAAAAGGTACGATGGATCTGTGAACATAGAACATGTTGTGGGCTTTGAGTTTCACTCTGCTTCGCTCTGGTAGCGGAGTTTACACGAGAGAGGCTCATGAATGGAGGACAGACATGACAGCCACCACAGCAGAGAGGATGGGATGTCCTCCTGAGCAGGAGAGTGGACCATGTGAGGAGATGAACGTGAACACTCACCATGTCCACTTCTTTCTTCAGTTCATCCATGTCCTTCTCTTTCTTCTTGCCCTTCCCCTTCTTCTTGCCTCCCTGCTCCGAAGTGGCAGCCAGCTCATACTGCTCTCGTCCTTCCTGGAAACAGCACAGAGGCAGGAAAAAAAAAAAAAGAGTTTAGTAACAGCAATAACTCTCAGTGATCTCCCAGCTAACCTACCGTTATTACATTCCTGCCTGATTTGTGGAGGATATCAGCGATGTGAAGATCGCCTGCAGCTGAAACGAGGGCTGGACAGCTGGGATCGGTGTGGGCAGGTTCTTCTCAATGAGCAACATGAAGGGTCACAAATGTGCTTTATCTGTTGTTATGCCAGCTCTGATCACAGCCATGAGCATTTCAGCAATAAGATTGTTCATGTTAGGTTTCATTCTGCCTCTGATGCTGCTTTGCAGAACCGTTTCTAGGCAGGACAGATAGTGTAAAGGGTGATAATGGATTCTGTGATGCCAGTGATGCTCAGCCTCAGAGATCCTGTACCAGTGCTGTAGGACTAAGTAAGCTCCCAATCTTCTCCGTCATCTCAAACCGTGGCTCCTGTGTCACGCCACTTTGGGTCTCCACGTACACTTCAGACATTCACTGGCTATAACCTAAACAGCAGCGGCTCCCACAGCTCCGGATATCACGGGAATGTAACACTGAAGTCCCACAAATACAATCAGGAGAAAATATTCACAGAAATTGAGAAACTATTCTTGATCAGCACTTCTCCAAGTTCAGCTGCTTCAAACGTGTGTTCTTTGATCACGTATCCCAACTTGTACCTGAAGTTACAGTTGTTTTGTAGCTCTAATTAACCTGCAGAACATTAACTTCATTTTGTCTAACGGGCGTCTTTTTTATTTCTTGTCCTTTTCATCATGTTGCAGTTTCTTTGGCCGTCATCCGAGGGTCGCACAGGTTGGTGGATTCAGATCCACGTGTGTCTCTGGGGTTAAAAAGAAACTGAAAAGTGCATCTTTAGGGCTTTTTAAAGGTACTTTAAACATTAGCATAGCATCTGTATAGCAATGACTATTAGCTAAATAAAGAAAAGCAGCTCGCTCTATGTGTTCTGTAACCTCAGCTTCTCTGGTCCACGCATCTGCAGCCGATCCGGCCCAACTGTATGTGCTACCGGACCGACACCAGCTCAGTGTGTTCAGTGTATGTGCTACCGGACCGACACCAGCTCAGTGCGTTCAGTGTATGTGCTACCGGACCGACACCAGCTCCGTGGGTTCAGTGTATGTGCTACCGGGCCGACACCAGCTCAGGGTATCTCACCATGCTGTAGCGTGGGCGGATGGTTGCTGCTGGGAAGGTGCGGCCAGCACCCCCATTTGCTTTGGTCTAAGATGCTGGTTCTGTGCTGCAGCATCCAGCGGTTCTTAATGTTGTCAACAACCACCTCTGGTTTCTAGAATAAACCCGCCCATCAGAACTGTTCTGTGTGCGACGGGCATGAGTAACAGGCCGAGTGCTGCTGAGGTGTGTCTGATGCACCGTGAAGCCCGAGTGATGCCCGATGACTCACAACGCCAGAACACATTTGTCATTGTGCATCGTTTTAAGCCTCCATGTGGGTCGATGCACTGAAGCCTGGATGAGAAGAAAACAGTAAACACAGCTTGTCTGGCACTGAGCAAACTGTGGCCTAAATGGGGAAGACAAACTGCCACAAACTTTCACAGACAGACCAGAGTCGCCTGTTAGCGCGTGGCTGCCGTTAGGCTGTGCTATCAGGAGCCCTGTTGGACACTGGAAGCCATCCTGATCCTGGCTGGAGGACACCAGACCATCTGTCACTGCAAACACTCCTCCTCTGGGATTTACTTTGTCACAATGTGCAAACTTTTCAAAGGCTGTCTATTGGCTCTGTGGTTTTAAATAAACCATTTTCCATCTGCTTCAACCCAACTTCGTGTTTCATCACCTGACCGTGGCCCACTGGCTCCGGAGCACACGGTTCCTGTGGAGAAGGGAGGCATTCTGCTCCACCAGTCAACGCTCAGGACTATCACGGGCTGCAGTGTTTTACTCATCATCACATCCCTTTACAAACTCAACCAGTCATTTCAGGCTTCAGAGGATCAGTCGAGCTTAACCAGGACATTTTGACTGTCCACAGCAGTAATGAAAGCCGAGGGAGGAGCAGGCATCGCGTGGTTCTCGGTCAGTTAGAAGATAAGGCTTTCTTTGCGTGGTGAGAGAGATTAGGCTGCTGGGGAAAACTCATTTCACTTGTTTAAACACCCACATTTGTGCTGTCTCAGGCTTAAACACACAGAGCTTAGTCACTCACCAACAGCTTTTCTAAACAGAACCTCTCCAGCTACGCGACTCCAGGGTCACACAATAAACCAGTCATTTACTGGTAATCACACGGGGGGACATGCTGTTGATTTAACTCCGACTGCGACACACATTCTCTCGCTGGAGGCCTTTAAATAAACAGAGCAGCTCCAAGATTAGAGCAGATCTCACACAGCGTCCTGATAACAGGTGAAGAAGTGAAAACAGTTCAGGGAGAAAGACGCACGCTTCAAGTAAAGAAACGTCCTGTGTGTGACTCGTCTTTCACTCGACCTCCCTTATCAGCTCAGCCCGACCGGCGGCCTCTCCTCCGTCCACAGACATCCCCTCTCTGCATCTCTGACAGAGTGACAAAGGCCCGAGCAAAGATCAGCCCAGCCCTGGACGGCTGAGAGCAGACTGACAGCGAGACGGTGAGATAGCAGCGAGAATGACCAACACAGACGGGAAGCCTACAGAACAAGAGGTACAAGGAAGATGCAACAGCTCAGCAAGGCAGGACAGCGTCACACCAAACGTACCAAAGCACAAGACAAACCCGTTGATGTGCCTCTGGACGCCGCCGTCCTGTCCTGCAGGATCCACACTGAAGCAGAACACAGCCGGTCCAGTTTCTAATGGTGACCAAACTAAAAGATAAATCCTGTAAACTGGGACTGGTGTGATGAATATAACATGACATCAAGGAATCTGCCAAGTTTTTCAAAATAAAATGAACAAGAGAGATTTGCAACTATTTTTACGCATCTGTGGGACCAACCAGTTTAGCTGTATTCATTCAGCACCAATCAGGGAACGTCCCAGAACCGACAATATAACACGATGAAGACGGACCCGATGATACCATCTGGTCAAACAGCAACAAGGATTTAAAAAGCAAAACTAGTGTCTGAAGATGATTGCTGAGCACATCATTTTGTCCAAACTGAAACATCTCAACAGCTATCTGATGCACGGGTATTGGGTTTATCATTTAGCCCGACCAGCACCAACACCATCTATACAGTCATTTAAGGAGCCTCTCTGAATTTACTGCAAGATAAACAAAACCAAACTAAATGAATTTACCTATTTAGATGAACTATTTCAGAGACAAAGCCTGTTTCCATGAGCTGGGCTGATGCTGGAATACTGGAAACTGCATCAACTTAACATCAGTGTGTAATTTAAACTCAAATCTTTGTGACTGTTGACTTCGAACTGATTTAAGGTCGAAGAAACAGAGTGACGTTTGCTTAATGATTTAATTTTTCTTCACCTTAAACGTGTGATTTTGACTCTGCTCGCTGACCTGGACAGTTTCAGACTGAACAGACGACTGATCGATTACCAGCTGGAGCTCTTTAACGGACTGATTACAATGACAGTTGGCACATGTCCATGGTGCCTTAAGGATGGAACCCATCTTTGGATTTTCCATCAAACATCAGGTCGTAATTTTAATTTGTCCAGTACTTTGGTTTATGGAAACCTGCAAAGCTAATGACATTCCAATCAGCCTCTGCTGCACATAGTCTCTGGTGCAAACGAGCTAGCATTAGCTTATTAGCACAGTGGATGGAGATGGTGACCAAGGGAACCACTATTATGAGCATTTCAGCATTTGGCTCAAAGCACTCTGAGTCCTACATGGCATCTTACTGGAAGGTTCTATGTTATTCTGTCTAAATGCACCATGTCATCATGCTCTTCAGCATGAAAAACAACCCAGAGCATTAGTTTGAATGCTCTGGGTCCTGAATCAGCTCTGGGATCTGAATCCACCAACCTGTGCGATGACGGCCAAAGAAACTGCAACACATCCTAAACATGTGTCTGAGGACAAATCGACCACCGTAACAGGTGAAAAGTGCGTCGTCTTCTTAGTGAGTGTGCTAATCAGACAACGTCAAAGCAACGTGTTTCACAACAGAAAGCAGCCATCGATCAGCAGCTAAGGCTAATCAATACTTCAACACGGTACAGGGATCAGAGGTGTTGCTGTTAGCAGGGAAGGAGAGGGCTCGCCCAAACACCAAGTCAGGACGGCAGAGCCATTTGTCAGCGAGCAGCACCACACTGGTCCGGGATCAGATGACCAAATATGGACATCCTGCACACAGTCATGGGAACATGCAGCTTTTTTTTCACCACAGCAGCCTTTAAAGTTTCCCAGAGCAGAGTGTGTGATCCCAGCACATGTTATTGTTGCTCCAGCCCCCCAGCCCGCTAAGCTGGGAAAACACGGCTCTGGTTCTGGATCTGAGCCGCTGGACCCCGAGGGCCCCCAGGGCCCATCTGGCTTCAGGCAAATAACTCACAAAGAGCGGTCCGGAGTGGTGGAGCACAGACGGGTTTCCAAAAGAGAGGACGGTGATTTGTCTGAGCCTCATCATGATTCTATGGAACAGAACACGATCAGCGTGGAGCTACAGGGATAGAAATGGTGTCAAAGTCAAGCAGCACGTTTCTGCTAAACTGCTGCAACCACATTCATCACCACTGATCCAGAGCAGGATTTAAGTGAAGAAAGCTTCCTTCACAATAAAAAGTACACTCCCAAGAATAATCGGATCAGAGTTTAGCTAGAATGAGATGCAGTTCTGAGCTGAACAGACTGATCTCCATCAATATTCACTTATATGTGTATATATAATGGACTTAATGCCGTTCTATATATTCATTGTTATTGCCTCTAAACAGGCAGGTTGGTGTTTGAATACTTGGTTTTTTAATTATCAGTTTCCAGTGTCCCAAATAGGACTTTTGTTTGTTCTTTAACTCTTTAACCATCTAAAGT